TACTCCCTCCAAAGCCGGTTGTGAGGGTCTCTATTACCATAGATCAACTCCCCATCAATAGGAAAGCCCGTGTGAGTTTGCACCCACTCTTCATCAAATTTGACTGAAATTAGAGACCCTATTCGGGGATCGGGAAAAGAGAATTCATCAGTTTCAGCATCATAGTGACTGAGCACATGCTCCAGTGCACGTCGATCTCGTGCAGGAGGTCCGAAGAACACATAGTGTTCAAAGTTAGTGTCCTTTAAGGCATCCCAATGCCAATTCTTTATTTTTGAATGAAGTTTATTCATGAATATACAATACGATCCAAAACGTGCACTAGGTCTGATATCACCTACAACATCACGTTTACTGCATAAACAACAAGACGTTGATTTGGATTAGGAGACAGTTAACAATACAGCCATTAACTTATTAAAAGTTAATATTTATTAACATGAATAGCTAATAGTTGACACCTAAGGGAAAACGTCGACACAAAACGAGAATTATTGACATGCAGAGCCACTAACCAACAACTACGTGAATTATTGGCATGCATTTCTTCCGAACACTTATATTTCCTATTGCACAGATCATACTCCAAAAGTAAGGATCTACACAACACTAACCAGTTTCTGACCAATATTTTCACATAAACAGAACCCATAAACCTCATTTAAATTCAAATCACACAATTAAATTAATTAAATTCAAAGTGGGGAAATTGATTGGGAACTTACTTCTTCTTTGAAGTGAACTCTTCTTTCGGCGAGCGTCTCCTCTTCCGCTCTCGCTTTTCCAGCCCCCTTTTCAAGCTCAATAGGGTTTCCATCGCCTCATTACTCTCCTCGTCGGAGGAGGATGTCAGAGGAGAACCATCGGCCGGAGGTATGACGGCATCATCGGAGGTTGAGGTGACCAATTTTGGAGTTTCCTCCTTCGTCAATCGTGCCGACCGCCGTCGGTGACGACGCCCTGCCGTTTGGGTGTCGACTCCTTCCCCCTTCTCTTCCTCAGGCTTCTGGCCCGTTTTTCTTAACTTTTTTTTGGCCATTTTCCTTTCTTGTTTTCCTGGGAGATTGAGGGAATTTGGGTTTTAAAAATGGGTTCTCAAGATGAGAAGAGGTTTGGTTTGAGGAGAACGAAGAAGAAGAGAGAGAAGCCAGGCCGATTTTGGGGGGAAACTACAAGGGGCAGTTTTAGGATTTTGGTTTTTTCCGCTCTCAATTCGGTCTGGGAAACGTAAAAGGGGCTGAAACACAAGAGTGTTGGGTATTGGGGACTTTGGCACGAAAAAAAATACGGGGGGCCTCCACACATCCCCTTTAAAATTTTGGGGCCTAGACACAATTTTCCCTTTTAATTATCACATTTATTTATAATATTTAGTTTTTTAAAGCTTTTTTGTATTTTTTTTTCTATTGTGTACGTGTTGGTATATATATAAAGAGAAATTCTTATGTTAGCTTAAGTGGACCATCCACCTACTTTCTTACATATTGATATTATCTTTTAATTATCACATTTATTTATAATATTTAGTTTTTTAAAACTTTTTTGTAATTTTTTTTCTATTGTGTACGTGTTGGTATATATATAAAGAGAAATTCTTATGTTAGCTTAAGTGGACCATCCACCTACTTTCTTACATATTGATATTATCTAAGGAT